ATAAGTGGTGTTATCAAAGATCTTAGTCTTTTCTGCTCATTCGATGACGTAACAGTTTTGAACTTGTCGTCCATTGTTTTCCTAACCCACATCGGGATGTGTTCGGCCATTCGGTGACGTATTCCTTCGGTTGTCAATTCCGTACACGGAACAAATTGAATCGTACTCTTCAAGGTAACCTCCCCTCGATCGAGCAGTTTTCTTCTTCTTTATCGTCACTTTCCGGAGTAACAGTCTGTCTATTTCGTATATGTGGTGTTGTTCCGACTGACAGCGAAATCGCAAATGCCGGGAGAATGATATGCCTCTCGCCACGAAAGATGATTATGTCAAGTCATCCGAAAATAGTATCATCGGTGCATAGTTGCTTGCTGGACTATCTGAGCGACCCACACAGGAATGCGGTGATGGTGGTGCAATCGTTTAATCGCTGTCACCGGCGTGTTTTGGACCCCGTGGTCCGAGGTTCGAGCCCCGCCACTGCCACCCGACTTTGGTGGTAGACAGCTTTGCTGTCGTCCGGTTTAATACCACACCTAACCTATCGGGGCCCTATGTGATTCACCACTCCAAGTCCTGGAGCTTAGGTTGCCGATTGCCATCACTGAACAGTAGGTCCTCGTGACTATGGGATCCAACCTGTCTGCTGTTCATCATATAGTATAATGAAGAGATTTGTTCCTTTAAAATACAGCAATTTTCGAAGCGTCTGAAAACAATCGTCAAACCTGTGACCTCTTGGCAAGCTCAAATTACCTATTGTGTTGCATCCAGGAAAGTAATCTGAAAAAAGAACGTAATCCACCAGTTCCTGATCTTCGGAAGCGCGGTCTTTACGCCGGCGACACGATCAATTAAATCGAAAGGACCGGAGCTTTGCTGTTGCGATTAACGTGAAAAGTAGCTACGTAACAGTGCTTAACTGTGTTGGAGTGCGACGGGGTTACGTAACATGAGAAGAATCGATCGTCATTCCGGGAGCATTTGCTCATAGATTCGGAATCCATATGTAAAATCTGTCTCCGGACGTCCGCTCTCGTCTGAGAGCGCGACAATACAGCCTCAACATGTCTTCTGATATTTTATGGTTCAGTGTCTTTGCATGCGGTTGCTTTTCCCTTGGATTTTTGAACCAAGCTGTGATAGGAACGACCAAACACTGGGAAAAAATGACGATACACAGAAACGAGCTGCGGCCCCGTTGAGAGATTTTTATTTAGACTAACAGAGCTTCATCATTCCCAAATCATGAGGCAATATGATTGCGTCGTACAGATTTGTGCAGCCAACCACTGCACGTGCGAAAACCACCGACCTGCTCTCTTTCTACCGCTATCTTCATTGTACCGGCGAATGGCTCCGGTGAGCAATGCAAAACCATTCGTAGGCAGCATTCGCCGCATCAGAGATAACCCTTAGGTGATTTTCAGATACTTCGGAAACTCGAAATTCCCCGCGTTGATGCTGGTCTCATTTTTCACATCTACACGGACATGCCGATGCCGGATAAAGTCCCGTGTTCTCGTGAAAATTGCGGACCCCCAAATGCCTACATTGTCACCGCTCGCAAGTGTCACCCTTTGAACGATCTCTTACTACTCTCATTCTTTCCCCCTAAACCCAGCGCAGTGGTTTATACAGACCACGGACACTACACGGCAGTTCAAGTATTTGACATTTGTCACAACATGGGGCTCATGATGTATTCTTAACATTGGATCAAGTACCGTTTGTCGTTGATGTGTAAAAGTAAACGACCGCGTAGTCGTGTTTGGTAGTCAGGGATTTCGGGAACAAAATCATCTGTCTGTTCAGACGGGGGTGATCGTAGCGCGTCAGTCGATGAAAAGAACCAGCTATATTATCAGTTCTATCCAATTATTAGGCGATTTCGAATCCTCGGAAACAAATGAGTGCTTTTAACTGTTTAGATAAATCAAGATCACTCGGGAAGATTGTTTCAGTTTCGCGAAATAGAAAGCCTATTTAATCACTGCCTTTTGTATCACACATACAGAGAGCAAAGGACATAATGTTGGTAAGCCCAATGTTATGAATACTCTGAGATGAGAGAGTACAAACCGGAGAGAATGAGTCTTCTAATTCTGCTTTCGGAAAGAAAAAAATTGAAATTCTCCGGAATAAAAGACCTGTTGCGGCACCAAAGCAAGACTACTTTGATGATGGTATCTGGTTGTTTGAGTATAGGAACCAGTGGAACCGGCAATGCAGAGACCGTGATACTACCGGCATAATCAGGACTAGGGAACAACTAACTGACAATGGGCTATGGAGATGAGAGTCGGACTGCAAATGGGGCTAATGGTTTTTCGTCGAATTTCATCAACAAAAGATGAAAAATAGGACAGAGATCCATTCATTCATCTGACACAATTTTAGTACTCAATAGCGTGTAAATGTGAGATTCGTATAATAGAAAATATATATATATATAAAGAGAAATCCGTTTGGTGCGCAAGACAAAATCACTTTTGTGCACAGCATGGGAAGTTCGCAGTTCAAGAAAAAATAAGGATCACAAGATAGTGCGCGCGGAGAGAATGAGATTGTGAAGCGAGCCCGAAACGTCAAATAAGCAAAGAGCGATCAGGCGACTGCCGCTTTGAGGAAACGGACAGCACAGATGTTCATCGGGGTTGGAGATGAAATACACATGATTTCCGGTTGCTTAGACCAGCATTGTTAGACTAGATACGGGATGGTATCATCTCTAACGANAGAATCGAGTCATCAACAGACGCTCGGATAAGATATGGATCGATCTGTAACACAAAGGAAGTGTTGGAGAAAGAAATGCCTGTTCCGCTGGGTATACTGCGTGAGCGATTCATCTACGCAAACGGCATAATTTCAGCTCGAGAAGTGCCGCCACGGTCTCAGTAGTTCGTTTCGTTCCACGTGCGATTGCGAACCGGCCTGCGACCAGGGATTTCATTAAAGATAACAGTAAAATTAAGTGACAAAGGTACGGTTCTGATGACTCATAGTTTTAACGAATGTGCGGAACTCTTTGCAACAAGTTTGGAGCATTCGCCAAAGTAAGGACAAACAGTCAACAGAAAATACGAACCAGTTAAAGAGCGCATATTTTAAAAATAACTGGTAGGATGTCAATGAGGTCAGGTTTACTTATATCGAAACTTTCTGGGGATGAAACAAGAGAGGGAAACAGGAGCGACCTAACCTCGAACCGAAGCAAGAACTTCGGAGCATCGGAAAAAAGACACCAGAAGAATTCAAGAAAGAGAGAAGCTGGAGGAGTCAAAAAGAATCAGAAAATGATGTTTTCGGGAAAATAAAATAACAGTTGGCTGGTATCCGGACAGTTTTGGGCACACTATTTTGTTGGCAGCCAACATTTCAGATATGTATACAGTTGAATAGAAGGACTATGACGATCTCATTGGACCGTTTACGATGCAAAGGCAAAACCATTACCACACCTTCTTTGTTCCATTTACACGTGGAAACTACAATACGTTCCATAACTCCTGACGGACAGCATTGCATACGTAACGCGCGCGCGGGATTTGAGCTGTCCCCACAACTCATCCGACAATTAATTTCGCTTGAGTATCTGATAAAAGCAGTGACTGCTAGTGATGAAACCGATGGATAGGAATCAGATCCCAAAATTCACCTAGAACGAGTTTATACGGGATGAAAGAGACAGAGTCTAAAATGGCAGGATCAGTTCCCATTCAACCTTATCTAGTCCAAATTCCCGATGTGACTTCAGTACTGTAAATAAAGTCTGTGCATATCGGCTTAAATATAACCAGTGCTCACGCGGACAATTGTCACTCGAAAACAGGCACCAGCTAAGTTACGATGATGAGGTTTTGGGGTTTTTTCTCTATGGTCATCAATGAAGTGTATGATGTCAGTATATGACTAAAGGAACACTGATATTTCATCTTGCTAAACAAAAGATCTGTGTGAAAACTACTCTAACAATGAACAAACTCAGTCGCGTTGTTGCCGCATTGACCATAGAACACTATGTTCCGTCTGCTGATGACATTCAATGAAAGCATAACACAATTCAAGTCGATGATCCGAATTTGAGACAATTTTACTCGCGCACACCAGATCTTCTTCGTCTCGTTCCCGTGCAGAACAAATCAGATCAGACAATCGAACGAGGTGGACTGCAAAAAATGGAATACTCCGCAGAGCGAACAATTACTGTGATAGCAAAAAAGAAAAGAAAATGATAGCGATCCGGGATCAGTGGATGATGATGATGATTAAAGACAGAGAGAGAGCAAAACGCGGTGGCGTTCAGGGCAATATCCCAGTTAGCGCGATAAGCCGTGGATGCATGTGAAACAAACGTGAAGAAGAAACCAGAAAAAAGGGGTGGGGTGAGAAACCAATAACGGGCCGGTGCTTGTAGATGACCGCGAACCACATTTCGGAACCAGGCTGTGCAACATGGAGAAAAGCCTTGGAGGTAATTGTCGACGGATGATGTGTAAGGCGCAGGGAAATTATGCCATTCGAATTCCGCACAAAAAAGGAGCATGGTGAGGGGTGTGTGTGAGGGAGGGAACAGACAAAGCCGAAGAATGCACGCACGCACACACACACATACGGACTAGTAAACAAAGTGAAGGTATTCCTTCGCATATGATAAACAAAATGATACAGTGATGTGTGCAAAGCGCGGTGTATGGGGTTTATCGACAGGTTGAGAAAGTCAATCAATCGAAGGAGTGGGGCGGGTGGGGGGATCACGGGACATTAAAAACGGGAAGACAATTCAGTGGTGACAATCAGACGACGACAGCAGACATTTGGGAGACGGGGGTAAAATGAGCTAGCGGAATAACACTATTCGCGCAACTCATGAAGGCCGATTCAGAGTGACAGTTGAAATGCGTCAACTTAGTGCGAACGCTCATTTGCCAAACAGAAGACAGAGCTGTAACAAAATGGGAAATCCGAAGAAACAATGGACTGTCGTACGAATATGATCACGGAACAGGTGACCCAACAAGTCGAATGAGAACTTTGGCATATCCGTGCAACTCAGATTCAACGGGGACCTGACCAGGAGCCGGTGGTGAATTCTGAATTTGCAAAATGATAAGAAAAAATGGAGTTAGAAACCAAAAAATTGAGAAATGGGCATCTTTAATCAAACGCGGAATAGGAAAAATTAGCACGATAAGGAAATGCATCAGTAAAACGAGAAAATTGAACGCAAAACAATATCCGTCTAACTAATCAATAATTGCAACGTAACTTTCAGTCTGAAACAGCAGTTGAAGAAATCCTTCCCAAAGATTGGACAGGATGGAGTAGGCCAACAGACTATTTCATTTTTGTTCAAATTATTGTTTGGCAGATTTGAAGTTTGTATGTCAATTGTGAAAAGTTCGGTAACCTCGGTGGGATTTGAACCCACGCATGGACGCCGCCTACGCTTCGTACGCGCACGCTCTACCAGCTGAGCTACGAGGCTACGCCGATGGCACTGATCTTTTCACATTTCCTTTTTTAACATTCGAACCACTTCCGATGCTTCTATTTCAGTTAATCCTTTTAGTCGATTAACTCGATGACATACCAATGGGATGAATCATTTGCTGTTCGTGTCGAGAATAAATAGGCGAGGATGTTGATTGAGAAACTATAAGAGAAAAAAGAACAGGCTTCAGCTTTTGCCATCTCGCGCTGTACCGATGAGAACGAAATCAGGAATCGATCGATCTCTGGGAACGACAACTGACAGTGTGGATGCCAGCACGCATACTATATATATCCAAAAATCACCCGGTGTTGCAAACAAGGTTGTCGTGACGAAAATACACTTTCTGTGTACAAGTTATCGAATGAACTGACAGATTAACGGATACGCATAACTGACGAGCTGCAAGAATCGTGAAACCGGTTGTGTGCTTCTAGGAAAATTTTGTCTAGTCAATCATATACTACTTCTTATGAAATATATATATATATATATATATTCAACACAGGCTTGCGGACAAGCATGTTACCAACGCCACGATAATAGTAACAATAACAATAACGAGATGGGTGAATTGGGGTACAGCATAGAGTGAAAAGGTGAAACTGTTAAAATGGAAAATTCTAGATAACTGGGATAACAATTTCTTGTGCTTCACCGTAGATCTTTTGTTAATTTATCTTTTTTCATGGGGCACGTGACTTCAACAGGCAGATCGTACAGCACGCGCGCCACTGACTTCTATTCTGAGTCATATCTCTCAGCGTCTCTAACCAACGACAATCCTCATCTTCTAGGCCCCAACCTGGGAGGCGGGATGCACCAACCGAGGCCAAAGCTGAGGGCAGCTTCTTCATACCTCTACGCCATGTCATGGTCTGACCGTCAGGGCGCTTCTTCCAACATTGCCCGGGGCGTGCAAAGACAGCACGGAAAGGTAGTTGATGGCCAGGCGAGCGCAATAGGTGACCAAGCCATCGGAGGTGGTTTAGAGCGATTGCTTCAGTTAGAGAACGACCATTCACAACCAAAACACGACGACAAACCTCGTCCTTACTCACCCGGTGTTCCCACCAGACAGGAGCAATCCTTCGGAGACATCGATGGTCGAATACAGAAAGTCAAGTGTATCCATGTATGCCATTTTACTAATGCAGATACAATAAGTAGTTTAAAAATTGTAAGCCTCCGTTGTATAAAGAATGATAGTTTAAGAACAGCAAGCTCTCAGAGATACTGACTGATTCAATGGTCCATACTGAACACAGACAAAGCACCATGAAAGGTTGATAAGTAATGCTCGACTGCTTCAAACTTATTGAAACCAACTGGAGACTGAACCGCCAACACCAGAATTTGGATGAGATCGAACGAAGCACGAAACGTTGCAAAAGCAATCTGTTTCTCATTTGATGCCTACACTTTCGGTGGTTTTCTATTCTGCATTTGTACACGCGTGATTAGACTAATTTCTAGTTCATATCAGTAATTATTTGAAAGATCTCCGGGGAATAGTATATCATTTGACTGTGGTCGCAAAGTTTGACAACATTTATGCACAGAAAATGTGAACTTACTAATGGAAAGACGCGTTCTCGAGCAGCCGGATTGCTGATAAGCTCGCTCATATTATGTGCCACTGAAAGAAGAGGAGTAGAGGTTCAACAATGCAATGAGCAGAAATGAGGGCAGATAAATATCCGTCAAATCAAACAACAGTTGATTCGCGTACTTTTCGATTGGCTGCGCTACATTTTCTCCTTTTCGGAAATCGTTTTGTTTGTGGTGAATACGGCATAATGACCAGCTGAACGGTTTATTCGTGATAACAGTTAATCAGTTTCAAGGATGATTTGCTCAATCCTGTCCGTTTTATGTCCACCTTGATTGGTTTTCCAATTACTGCTCAAATGAAAAATGCGAATTCGACGGCTCACGAGCAGCACTTTATCGCACATTCCCATCCAAAATGAGTGTACCCGCATTGATCAGATTGATCTATCTGGTAGAAATATGTTTATAACCAGATTTGCTTGACTCAGCCAGAAACCATGCATGTGAACGACATAGCACTGATGATTGAATCTGAAATTTCCGGGTCTTTGTTATTACTCACCTTTGTTCTGTATGATAAACAGCAGAAGAGGTGAATAACCATAGCCGCGTAGACCTGCTGCTCAGTGAGATAGAAACCAGCAACCCAAATCTCATGGATCGGAGAGGCGAAACGTATAAGGCCCGCTAGGTTAGGAGTGATAGTGAAAGGTGGACAGCAAAGCTGCTCACCACCCAAGTCGGGTGACGGGAGTCGAACCTCGGATATACGGTCCAAAGCACGCGGGTGACAGTGACTAAACCACTGCGTCACCACCACCATCGCGAATGCGATGCAACTAGAGTCGGTGTATCGTTGCTCTGGTGGAGGTCTGACAGCTTGGAAATTAGTTAAATGCCCACATATGAATGCAGTTAATATGCACTAACTCAGAATTTGATCGATGTAGCCACGCGTTCGAGGTATAATGTGTGTGACAGTTGGAGGAGTACGTATTTCACACACGTTTGGGGTCAGACTGTGTACCAAGCAAATCGCGGTACAGTACAAGAGAGGTGAAAACTTATGGAGGCATCAGCCTCGTCGATGTCACGACCTAATATGGCTTGCGCCGATATTGTTTATCTGTGTTGCAGCCGTAAGAGATGTCCAAAGGGGGAAGCGAATTTACCGGGGACAACGCGACTGTACATTAGATCCTGAAACTACGCTACAACTTCTACAACCTACCATAATATTTTATCGACTTCCACAATACTTTTGATTCTAACGATAGGGTATATTTNATTTGTGGTGCATACTCAGTTCAACGGGATTCCCAGGAAACTCATCAAGCTTGAAAAGCTCTATTATTCAGAGACCCGAGCATGCATTTGCACTTACGAGGAAGAATTAGTTGATTTTCCACTAGACTCCAAAGTTAGGCAAAACCATCTCTTATCGTGTGTGTGTGTGTGTGTGTATGTTGTTCAACTACATCATGGATAACATAACAAGCACTCGTCGACTAACTAATCCGGAGGGTAGCTCAGCTCAGATACTAGAAGCGCAGACCTCGAGTTTGCGGACGATATTGCCGGACTTTAGGACACTGTCGACAACCTGCAGCTTTTTGTCAGTCAGATTAACCAGATTTCCCAGACCATTTTGGATGGAGATCAACACGTTGGAAACCAAGACATTTATGAGTGAAACTTCTAGCGCAACAAGACCCTTCTCGATTACCAGATAGTGTGTCCAATTAACCAAAGTTTTCAAGTACCTTGGCTCCATAATCAAACCGAACGATCAGGCTAAGCACGAAATTCAACTTCATGTAAATGGAACCTCTCTGACTGTTGAAGCAAAATAAGCCCACACTTCCGCTTCTCAAATGCAGTGGGAAAGAGAACGAAACAGAGTGGGCAGACAGGCTTCAACTTCCTTGATGGAAATAACTCGTTCTCTCTAGAGTTCTTCGTGATTTTCAGAGAAATGAGTGCATCAGCGAATTCTGTCCCACTAAGTGGGTCACAATCCATGCCGTACATCTCCGAACAGCTTGACACTTGTGGACAGCCAGGTTGGTTTGATGTGCGATTGGGCAATCCGTCGAAGTGTTTGACTCGCCTTTGCATTTTCCGCTCATTCCACTTGAATAGGTTGACCCGTGGTGTCGCGCACCAGTGACTCCAATGTTTGTTTTTTTTTCTCGCGTGTTGCGACGCGCGCTAAACGAAATAGCTTTTCAAAGTTCGCGTCAATGACTGCAGCTTCCGTGATGTCTACGACCGTCCTGTCAATCAGCAGTGTGGGGTTATCGTTGCAAACAACGGACAGAAAGTTATGGTCAAAATTATTGGGGAAAACTGGCAGAGCCGTGAGCATATGCACAGAGCGTGATTACGTCAGGTAGGCGTATCCCGTCTACCGTCTAGAGATTTCAAGAGTCAGTAACTGATTGGTGGGTTATTTACGAACACCGAAATATATGGCAACGANNNATTGGGTTAGAATGCGTGATCCGTATGTGGACCACAGTGATTAGTTTTTTCCACGTCCCTCAGCAAGGACCATTCCTCAATCACTTTAAGTATGATCGTGATCAGTGGCAGGAAATAACAGTCATGGCAAGGACCTAAAGTTGATCTGTATCTAGAATGCTTGGCATATGTGTGAACTTCGCCGATGAGATCACTTGGAGATGACAGACTGGTAAGTTGCGCAAAGAGGAATATAATACGGACGTACCCAAAAGTAGGTCACAGCCATCCAGAAGATCCGCTTCAACCAATTCCCGAGCCAACACATCGGCAGAGTCTACAGTTCAGAGAGTAGCAGATTCAAAAATCACTCTTACCTTTGCCTGGAACGTAATTAAAGCTGATGTCTTGTAATTCGTTGTTCTGTTTGAGGTTTCGTTTCCGGAGTGTTATTCGGTAAGATGGGCCGGCGGGCTGGAAAAAAACACACGGAAATTAGCGAATATTTCGAAAAGGAGGTTAATCTGAAGAAATGTAAACAAACACGTTTATTGTCATCTCTCCAGCCAACATCGAATACACCAACACGGATACAGTGAGCATGACAAATCGTGGCAAGACTTTGCGTGCATACAAAGTTAAACTGGTACCGGATGGACGTTTTCTCAAAGCTCTGAATAGAATTTCTGTAAGTGTCCCGCGTAAACAGGAGTGTTCCACTCTACGACAATTAGATAGGACTGGTGAAAACCAAAAAAAAGTATGTTGGGGCGTAAGAATCCGAGAGGGGGGTCATGAAAACTTCCATGTTGAACATATTTCGAAGATGATACCGGTGGTCTAGTGTTTAGGATCGATGTTACCGCTACCTGAGAGTAATAAGTTCACATCGGACCGCCGCCACCCATCTTCCTCGTTTTCTGAATTTAACCACAATAAGCAACTATCGCAAGAGAGGGGTACAATGTACCCGAGGAATTCGCAGTGCTTTAGGGTTATAAGATATCTGCCTCCTCTTAATCCGACACAAATTAACTGCTATTAATATCATCGAAGCAATTTGCACATGCCTGGTATGAACACAGGGAGCAACAACGAAACACATCGTCATAGTTTTGGGTGATGAGCGTAGTTCTTCGGACTAAGAAACGGCAGTAAACCACCTCTGATGGATGCGTATAACTGTGCCTCGTGCTCTCTATGCACAGGCTAGAAGAAGCTAGACGAAACGATACACCAGCCAGACTAAGGCTGGACGTGATGGTGCAAACAAGTTCCCCTTGACATTTAATTCAGTCAGTGCCCCTCGTCTTCCAGGTTTGGGTGCCGAGGAGATGATGATTGTCATCTGTCACCGACACTGAGAGATATGGATTATTTGAAACACCGGTTCCCCGTTTATCCACGTTATCATGACCGAAAGAAGACATATGTCGCGAGATGTTAACATTCCGTTCAATCTTCTGAATCGCTGACGTGCTTGTTTGCTTCACGTCAGCGATTGAGAAGATCCAACGAGAAATGTGAACATCTCGCGACATATGTCTTCTTTCGATATTGATAAGATATGGTTTATAACAAAGATCAGGTACCACAGTATTGATAGGATGACTGATTGTGATTTTGAAAAATATCAACCGTACGTTGTTTTGTTCCATCGTTTTACAAAACACACCTTGGTTGTATAACTAAACCACCCACCACAGCACGTACCCAAAACGATTGTCTTAGATAATGAGGAGTCTTATCGTTTACGTTGTGCTTAAGTAAGAAGAACCTCTAAAAGAATGTCTGACAGGAAAGGCAATGGATGAGTATTCGTAGTGCGCCTACAATCCTGAAAGCGATTTCCTGGAATAAGACCGGTCACAGAAACCGGGTTGATATTGGAGTTTACCTCTATACCACGCAAAAAACAAACGGGCACGGTACTCACTCAACACCGGACAGTGTCGATTGAAAACCATACACTTGACCCAGAATGATCTGCACACTGAATAAAAAGTAAAAAAAACAAATGAAAACAACACACACCTTTCACTACAAACGAAGTCACCGCCAAGATTCCCTCGGTGTGCGAATGCCGCTCATTTCTTTTATAGGCGTCTGTGAGATGAACGGCTTAAGGCGTAAAGATAGTTACATGAACCCAGGACATATGTCTCGTGACTGATAATGAAGTAACGGGGAATGATAGGTGTTGCGTTCGTTGTCTGATCCACAAAAAACCGTAACAAGCGATAAAGTGATTTCTAATGCAGAATAATTTGACAACTGATTACNCTGATTACCGGATACACATGACTGATGAGCGACAATCACCGCAAAACCGGTATATATATATATATATATATATTACAATAAGTAGTATATGAATAACTGGACAAGATCTCTTTGGAATCACACGACCAGTTTTGCCGTGATTTATGACTCCGCGACCATACTGACATCAAAAGTGGCGCAATAAATTTTAGAATATGAAAATTATAGGTGTGCTGAAATTGGTCATGGTCAGTCGATCATCCTAGCTCGATCGAAAATTGGTGAGTGAATCACAAAGGCGTAATCATGAGGCACACGATCACTCTACTGAAACGGTTCAGCTCAGTTCAGTTCTTACAACCATTAACCATGCACTTTCGTGCGCCGGTTTTGGTTGCCCATTTGGATAAAAACAGCCGAAAAAAGATTGCAATGCTGAAAGTAAATTCAAGCGGAACATGGAGAATTCATATAGAATGATGTTAAGGGAATAATGAATGGATGCACGAGAGCCACTGTTTGTGACACCCAGCCATCGCTCGCCGCGGAAACCTATCTGGTGACATGCGGAACACATGCCTCAACCAACATGGTCTATGGAGGTCGATCACTTGCTCCAGTGGACGAGCGCGAATGCCTAAAACTCTACGCCTAACCTCAGCATTGCTAGTCCGGTTACCCCATCAGACTCGTGCAATGCAACGTAGACGGCAGAATCCACATCAACAATCCATGTTGAGAAATAGACAGTGAAAGGTTGACATGTTACATTACACACTGCTTTTCTTTTTCAGGTGTATAGAAGGGAATCGATGTTTCAATTTACATTACTATATTATATCGATAATCAAGAATAGAAACAATTAACCGTCAACCACAACAGATAGCTTTGGACACTTCATGGATAAGTCAAATGAAAACTCCAAAACACGGAGACGCGCGTAATGACTCAAAGGTCAGATTATAGCATGCATGACTGAGTGTGTTCGTTGAAGGCACCGAAAGCAGTTTAGGAATACGGAAAAAAATGTGCACAAAAGTGCATGGTTAATGGTTGTAAGAAGTGTTGATAAAACTTACTACGTCACTGTCGCCCGGGAGTGCTTCAGCGTCTGCTGTGGGATTCAAGGCTGGAACGAAAGCTTCAGTCATTCCGCTTACTGCAGCTGCTCCG